ACACAATCTCCTCTTAATAATTAATTAAGAAATTTTACAGTAATCCAAAACTTGATCTGCCTACAATGGCAAATACAAATAAAAATAAATGTTCCCTGTTTTGCTACTTTCCATCTGGAGAGCCACTGCAATCTTGAATGTCATCCAGTTTCCAAACAGCCTCCACCTCTCAAGAATTCGGTCCACTCCAATATTCGTGTCCTCCACAAACGTAATTATATTTCCTCTCTAATTGTACATTTATTACCTTAAAACATCACCTTTACAAACTCACAATTCAGTCTAATTCTTCCCTCAACCAAATAGCTTTACCCTCTTACATCCGACTCTCACTGTGTCAGAACATCCACTGCGCTATTTTTTCATCTCGATCTGTCTCTCACACAATCTCACTCCTGATTGGTCACACACATTTAACATAGTATCTGTTTATTCTTTGGTTTCCTGTTCGTAATGACTTCTTAATTTATTTTCTGTCCCATGGAATTAGCACACGTGTCCTTTCACTGCATTATTTAACATATTATGTATTTTCCCCACTATCAATTATGTTATCCTTTAATTGTATTGTTTCCAAAATAAAAATTTCCTTGGTTTCATTTCTACACACCCCTTGTTGCTGTCATCCATATTTATAATTACGTAAGTTTAATATTCCAATTTAATTATCTTTGTGACAACCCATCGCAACATGATATGAAATGTTTTTGTGAAAGTATCTACTTGAGTTCACACTTCTTTTCCAATATTTCCTCACTGGAAAACATGGCTGGGGCCAAATAAATGTTACAGCGAACATTTTAATGATTTAAAAAAAAAGTAAAATTCCATTATTTGTGAAAATGCTCTTTCTGTTTCTGAGTCAAAATGTTAATCTGCAAGTCCCACAATTTGGGCCACTTCAAAGCAAATTTTAATTTTCTTCCATCCATAATTGCTTCTCTTCGCTTCTGAATCTCTCTAGTTCAGTATTTCTCTGTAGACAATCTCACAAATTGCTGTAAAATGATATAGGAAATGTTTTTCATTATGAAGTACTGAAATTTGTAGTGCACTTTTCTCTTAGGTAGAGAACACGAATAGACTATTAAAAATATGAACAGAAAACCACTGAGAGTAAAATGTTATTACACACAAATTTAAATTTACATCCCATCTAAGCCTAATAATATCTCCCACAAAAATGTTTCATGAATAAATGAAAACATGATTTTTATATAGAAAGGAGAATAAACAACAGCAGCAGTAACAACAACAAATATTGTAAGACAGTTTCAAATTGCAGAACCCCGGTAGTTTTTACAATCACTGAAAAGAGACAAAACTATGACATCTAACTTCACTGAGTCTTCGCTAAGATTTACTCACCAGAGAAGTTATATGTTCAAATGTTTCCTCATATATGTCCATATTGCCAGTCTCAGTCAATAAGGTATTTGCAAGCTCTGTCAAATCAATAACTTGCTGGCGGTTTTCATCACTGTTCTCCAGCAGACCTGCCTTCTTACGTCGCCATCTTTCAGATGCCGACATAGTTTTTGTGCCACCTACAAAAATAAATGAATTAGTTGCTTTTGATATTTCAACCTTAAGAGGAGCTCTAAAAGTAAAATCACAATACCTAGCCTTCGTAATGCTCTAGTGACAGATTCACCAGGTTTCATCAATGTCAACATTTTGCGATATGTGGGAATTTGATCAAATGGAGTAGAATCTTCACTATCACTCGTCTCAACTTGTTCAGGTGGATTTTCTTGTTTTTTGATCTGAACAGAATAAGTAATTCTAAGCTAAATGTTTACTTTCTGAGATTCTTACAATTGAAAAGAAATGCAAATCCTTATAATACTACAACCAATATTTGAGTTTGATTGTTTGGCAATCACTATAATATTTCTCCCACGCATTCACTAATATGCATTCCCATCAACAATAAATGTATTACAATGAAACATGAATGAATATTAGATGACAATTCATGAAAGTATATTAATGATTCTATGATTGTCGTCATTAAATAAATAAAAGAAAGGTAAAGGGAGAGGGAAAAAAAAACACACACACACACCACCACCACCAAACAATACATTCATAAAATTTTGAAAATTAATTTTCACACTATATATGAATGGGTGAAGACAAGGATGGTGTAAGTGACATTTTATAAAATCTGTTTATTGAAGTCGATATCGCTGTAAAACCATGGTGGTTTGTTTCATCATTAATATTATGGAATTTCAAAAGTTCATTAAAACCCACAAAAATACATTTCCACTAAAATATAGCCTAAAATAAACAGGTTTTCTCAGAATTTATAAAATGTCACTTTTACTGTTTGGGTTTTTACCCATTCGTATGGAATGTTACTACATTGGAAACATTGATTTTTACTCTTAACATTCATCGAAAAACAATACATTCACACTCTAGTTTTCAATTTCCTGATTTCTAAATGGGGAGTTAAGGTAGCTTTATTCCTAATTTCCAATCTTCAAATAATGTTGTTTAGTTTTTTGAAAATATGAGTCTTTTTTGTGAAATTCTGTCAATCGTCGGCAATTTTTCTTTTAGTTAAATCACTTTTTCTTAAATACAGCACAAAATGTTTTGATTAAATTTGGACCTTAGATAGTGTAAAGGACGCCTAAGAGAACAATGCAGGACTCGGGTTCGTTAAAATGCGTGATTTTTCGAAAATTAAAATTTTTTCAGCATATTGCTACAACTACAATTGTGAAACATTTTTTTCTTAATGAAATGTGTTGATCAAAAACAGATCTTCATATAAGGTCATACTGAATTTTTTGAAAATAGAAATATTTTCGAAAAATCATTATTTGGTGTGAAACATAGTCACTGGTTTCGAAATTATAACTGAGGTGTTAATTCAGGGAGAAATTGTGGTATAAATAGTACTGCATTACTTAAGGCAAAAAAGTACATGCTGTTTCAGTGCCACTAGTTACCTTTTTGAAAGGATAGGGAGTAAGTTTTGATAGGGAGTTAAAAAAAAAATTAAAAAAAAAAAAAATGTTTGTTTGTTGGGTGAAATAATTAAACAGAGTTGGTGGCACAGTCAGTATTTCAACTATGATTCTTAATTTGTTCCCTTGGTAATACCCCAAGGGAAAAATGTAGAATCATAATTTTTTTGAGATACAGTAAAACCTGCTCTAATAGCTACTTCAATTAAACCTCTTTAATTGCCATTTTTTCTTGAAAATGATTTTCCAAATGACATGTATATTTTCCCTTGTAAATAGTTATCACATTCGACTGCTGGGAGCCAAGTGTGACATAAATTGACCTGTATTAAGTGGTCACCTTTAGTAATTCGGAGTTGAAATAGAATAAGATAAGGATTCGTTTCACGGCACTTGAATACAATTTATAATAGTAATAATAATAATAATAATAATAATAATAATAATAATAATAATAATAATAATAATAATAATGATAATAATGATAATAATGATAAGTACAAACATAATATATTTTACAATCTCATTTTTGGTTAATGTACCAGAGCTAGTATACTTGCAATTAATAGAGTTAAGAAATTCACCATCACATAAACTTTTAACTGGATTTCTGTCGAATCAATGTATATTGTGTGAATGAAAACCAAGGCCAGCATCAGTAACATCATCTAACCAAGTCTCAGTGAAGATAAACGAATCAAAATGATCAAATGCTGATGAAGTTAGGTTGAAAATGGATTATTTGGTATGAATGTTCTAATTTAAAATTAACAATTCTGAATCTTGCAAATCTCCAACTTTCCCTTTCAAGGAACTATGAATAATAATGAAAATTATTTAATTCATTTTTATGGATTTCTTCATTCATTCACTAATATTGGTTTTGAGATATTTGCAAGAAAGGAAGAGTGCACACTTAAATTGTGCTTCAAGGAGTAAGAAAGTGAAAATATTATATGAAATCTCAAACAGATAGTAACTTCACTCTTCTTTTGAAGGCCACATGTACAAAATCTCAGCAAGGTTATAATTAAACTGTAATTTGTACACAAATGAAAATTATTTTAAATTGCAAAAAGAATGATTTGAAACAAGTATCCTTAATAACACCTGACATAATTTTTAAGAGACCCAGTTAGAAGTGATGAAATGTACAAATGCATTACTTATATTCTACAAACAATTTTTTTTCGTTTTGTATTTCTAGATTAGAAGTTTCAGTGTCTCAACTTACATTGGTTTGATGCTTTGCCATACTATGACTACGCAATTTATTTCCTCATACAATTAGAGCTCTAAAATAAGTTTTTTTTCCCATAACTGCATGCTGCTTTGATTAGAAAACCTAATTTCCAATGTAAGGTGAAGACGAGGACAAAAATTGAATTGTCAAACAATCTAGACAAAACAAAACCCCCTTTATCACATCATCAAGGCAACACTGACAGTTAATTTGAAAATAGAAAACATGGTTTTTACACATTAATTGTTTCTAAAACTTACTACTATGGAGATCAGAATTAAATCATGCCATAAATGTAACTTATGTTTAAGTTATTTTAGGTCTTCACAACTATGTTTTGAATACTTTCATAGTAGTTGATATAAAATGATACGAGAGAGTACTAATCTGGTTGATGGTTTACCATGCCCGTTTTAATTTTAACCTAGAAAAATCAGGTTCATAATTTTTTTTTCCCAAAAACCTCCGAACTGGGGTACTTTATTAAATTTACCAGTATTTATTTATGCAAAAAACACATACCAAATGATTAATATTGAGTTGGCACAATGATTGGCAAATAAATAGTAAAATGAATGAACAAGAAAATGTCAAAACTAGCAACTATATTTCTCAAATATTTTATGGTACCAATGCAAATTTTATTTGGCTGAAGTGACTTAACTTGTTACTCCCCTTATTTGGCAATTGAAATTATAAATTTGCTATACTTTCTATAAATCATAAAAAAAACATGTTCACAACACTCATTCTAAATTATTACACAGGTCTATGAACATTTTTGCCACTGGAACAAATTGAACTGGTTGGTAAATCTATTTTTGGTGCACTTGATTTATAAGATAAAATTGAGAGGAGATTGCTACGTTGTTCTTCAAGAATTCAATACCTACAATGACAATAAAGCAATAAGATACATTACTGTCATTATACAATGTTACTAATTTTTTCATTAGTAACATTGTGTAATGACAGTGATTTATTTCATTTAAATATTATTTTGCTCAGTCAAGGAATGTACCCAATTTATTTTTTAATTATTGCCTGACATGGCAATTTTTTTTTTTTACTGAAATTTGAAGTTTAATTCAATTTCTCTTATGGCCACAATCTGAAAAGTTCATAACAATATGGGGTATAAATAACTTGTCAATTCTGTGTTAGACAAATGACATTGTCGTGAGTTGCAAGGGAAGGTCATTTTGATGCAACAGTTGTCCTCTGATGCACTGATGTCCAATTAAAATTTTGAAGGATTAGTCAGCAACTGAGTTACGAAGGAGAATGGAATCTTATCTCACTAAAAACAAGTTTTGACAACAAATCATCAGTTGTCAAAGCTCACCGAATAACATGTCTGCTCTACTGCACAACTCAATGGTAGCTGAGTAGCCCTGCCTTTCATTCGTTCCATAAATTATTGTCACCAATAAGGAGAGGATATTTATGCCTTAAAAAATACTGAGCTATGCTTTTTAAAACATGCATTTATGACCTAAAAATTCTGAAATATGCACTTAGTATGCAATTAAAATAAGTTAATATTTAATTTCCGGTATAAACCTTTCTTGGTAAAATTCAGGAGAAGCGCACACACCCTTCCCCTCCCACACACACCTGTTGCATGAGTACTTGGCAACACTATTTCTTCTCTCCTAATTACCAAACCATCAGAAAAATTAATTGCTCTAGGTTTGATTTAAAAAATCCATTTTTGCTGTTACAGAACACTTGTATTTTATTTTATCAAAAATCAGTCATCCTAACAATTTCCTTCCAACCTCAGAAGATACTAAATGGTATATATGACTGACATTTGTGCAGCATCTTCAGTCATTTTTGATGTAAAGAAGAAAACAATGCGTTATTAGATTCATTATTAGTTATAAACTAATTTTTAAAAACCAAGAATTTCATTTCGGATTATGACCTGTTCCAAACATTATACTTGTTCCAAATTTAAGAAATTTCTATTAAATTAGGCACTTCAGTTCCCATTGTAAAGATCATGATGCCATATGAAAAAAATTCACACATTAGGATTCAGTCCACAAAAATTGGGCCTAATTACACAAAATAATCACAAACCAGGGTTATGAATTCACTAAAATAAACTTTTGGCTCCCAACAAGAAATGGAAGCAGCTTCAATAATAAAGAATAATTCTAATCCACCTACTTAAGCGAGATCATAGAGTTTATCAATGTTTCTTACCTCTACCCAATCAATATTTTCTAACCAATTATCACGTATCATTTTTCCTTCTTTTTTCCAATGATAATTTCCGTCTGTATCAAAATGACCTTCTTCCATTTCCTCTTTCATGTTGAACGGTGTTATGGTAACTTCTCCATCAAACCCACCTGCACCATCTTCTTGTCCTGTTCAATTGACACAAAATATTAAATATGTCATTCTATTTACTTAATCTTAATAAAAAGTACCAAAATGACCTTCTATATCATCATCTTCCATAATTTCATATTTCTTTTCTTCGCCGTCATCCTCTTCATCTGAATCTAAGGTGTGCTTTTTCAATCCTGATTTAATAGTAGACGCAGCATTCCAATCCGCTTCGTAGCTATTCAGTTCTTCTTCTGACATTTCTGTTTAAAAATTAAACAAGCAACAAAACTCCATTTAGAAACGATTCCCAATATAATTTCAAAACCACTGGCACTAGCATCTAAATCGGTATTAAGGTTAAGTAAAGAAAATGAACCTGAAGAGATGCGTTTTGCTCACACGTTACTTTTAAAAATTAATGCTTCATGTGAAAAAACTTAATGATGAAAATATATTTTGCACAACGAAAAATATGAAACTTGATCAACTTGAAAACACTTCTCTAAGCGGATTCATACAACCAGTGGGACAGTGTTCTATTCGAGAGGGGAGTCGACTCCATATAGTACGACTTATTTAGTCGTGCACATGACGTATATCAGCTGTCGCAGTTTCATCCAAACGAGAGCTTAATATCGCTACAGTTACGTCACTATGAGGGCAAGTCAAGCTTCCGATTGGAAGATACCATAAAAAGCTAATTTACGTCAAAAGCGTGATTAAATAAATTCTAATGTAGAGCAAATCACGTTAGTCTACACTTGGTTTTTTATATTTTGCCGCGTGCAAGCTGGTCTCCACGATGGCATTTCATGACATTTTGCGTCTTTCTCGAGCTTGCCGCTTGATATTACATGAACGCGGCCGTATCGAGCAGCGCTGGCGATCATGCGATATCTAGCGGCACGATCAAGAAAGACTCTATGATATTCAGTCGTGACGAAAGTCCTCAAGCGCCAAAATATAAAAACCCTAAGTTAATAATTCTCACTTACTAGGCAGCGCTTTTAACTGGCAAGAATATTTGTCTGTTAAACCCTCGAACCTGAGCATAGAAGTTTCAGGTTCATTTCTTTTATATCATGAAGTGAACATTTTATGAAATCAAGTTACTTTTGATTCAATGTTTTGAATTTATATTTAAATTTATTCAGTAAAAAAAAAAAATCATAATTAAAAACTGTATATGACGTGGGGGGAAAAAATTATCTGCGCACGTTTTCTTGAGTTCCAGAATCCCTTCCCGTCATTTTAACTATAAAATAGTTGAAATTTAACAAAAATAAACAAAATAAATTTTAAAAATAGCAAGATTAGCAATATTTGAAAAATAGTAATTTTTGTTCCCGAGTGATAGAAAACTTATTTGCATCGGTACACGAATTGCAAGTATGATTTTTCTGCATTGCTAACAAAATAGCAATTCGTCCTTACCTCTACTCTTACCATTACAAGCAAAAGGAGAGTTCAACAAAACGTGCTCATAGTGAAGCTACATGTACGTCCAGAAGCAAAACAAGGAGCAATCTCAGCATTTGCTCAATGGATCAGGGAAACTGGACAAAACCTGATCGAGATGGGGGTCATTAACCCAGAAGCTGAAGTACATTATTTGTTAAGTCTTTAAAGAAAATATACAATATAAATGTAAACTAATTCATTATATATTTCTGTTTTGTTAATATAAACATTATTTTTCTTTTTGATAATTAGTATAGTCTCTAATTGTATAGAAACAGTTATGCAGCAGAAAAGATTTTACTTTTAACCGACTTCAATTGTTTAACGTCATCTGGCAGTGCGTTGTAAAGTAACGTACATGTATTGTAGGTGGATTTCTGATAGTGAGCTGGTGATATTGACACTTGTTGAACATGATTTTTACGACGTGTTGTCATTATAAATATTAGTATTGCATGAAAATATGTTCCCACCGTTAAGTAAGTCACTTTTGACAAATATTACAGATTCCTAAATATATAGGCAAGGCAGTGGTAAGATTCAAAGCTCAATGAAGAGAGGCTTGCAAAGGTAACGTGGATGGCATTTTTTCATTATTTCAATAATTTTCTTTTGCAATCTAAAGGTCTGAGTACATGATGAGATTCCCCAAACTTTTATACCAAATCTCAGGCGGGAATGTACATTTGCAAAATATATGCAACCAGCTGCATGAAGGCTGACAGAATTTGATAGAATTCTGAATGCGTAACATGGTGATTAGTGTTTAATTTTGTTATATGTACATTCCATCTGAGGTTTGACTGGATTGACAGACCTAGAAATTTCGTTACCTGAACATCACCGAATTGCATATTAATCATTTTCAATGGAGCATGCGATTGCTGATTTGAAACGAAAAATGCATTGAAACTGTTTTTTCCTTCACTAACTATTAATTTGTTATTACAAAACCAATTTGAAACTTTCATTTTTTGCAAAGAACATTCGTGTCATCGGCAAACAGAACTGTTCTTCCGTTTTAATTGACAATGGCATATCGCGTACGTATAACAGATCGAGCCTTGCAAACCCCATTTTCATTTGCTAAAAAACTGGAAAGATAAATAAATAATGTCCTTTCGTGCCAGTACGGTATTTCTACTCGTTGAGATCGATGTTTAAGATACGATGTAATCAACTCTAGGTCGATACGACGAATTCCATAAATAGGTAATTTTGATAGGTAATTTTGATAGCAAGATGATATGGTCAATAAAGTCAAAAGCTTTTGAAAGATCTAAAAATATTCCAAAGGGTGCTTCATTTTGGTTCAATGATGAAGCAACGTCTTTAAGAAAAAAGAATTGCAGTTTCCGTAAATTTTCATTTTCTAAACCCGTGTCGTGAGACTGAAAACGCTTCGGTTTTCCTGAGAAAAGTTTCCATTTGCATATAGAAAAGTCTATCTAATATTTTCAAGAAACCGGACAAAAGAGAAATTGGTCGGTAATTTTGAATTTCATTTTCGCTCCCTTTTTTAAAAAAAAGGGCTTAAATATCTGGAAATATTCCTGTGCATAAAGAAGCATTGAAAATGTGAGTTAACGGGTGTATACAGACAGGTACACAAGTTTTCAATAAACAATCCGGAAATTCATCTAAATCAGATGAATATTTATTTTTTAGTGTACTGATTATTCGTAAATTTCGTTAGGAGTTTCGGAAATAAAAATTGTGTCGAAAATTTCGTGGGAAGGTAATTATGTTGAATTTGACGGTTTTAGTCCCTTCGTGGGTTCAGTCGCAGTTCTAGAAAAGTGTTGGTTGAAGAGATTTGCCACTTTTTCCGGACTACTGGCTTCTCCTTCATTATCCTTTAAAACAAAATTCTCTACTGAGTAACGAGATGATGTGGTCTTATTTTTTACGATACCCCACATTATATATATATATATATATATATATATATATATATATATATATATATATATATATATATATATATATATATATATATATTCCACATTTGACTCTCAATTGAGTACTTGAAATCGTACTGATATATTACTTCATTTTCATTTTCTTTACCTCCAAAAGTAAATAGAGATTAATATAGCTAAATTTAAGACCATAACTGTTAATTAGCTTTTCCCAAAGATTGTCATCGGCCACGTATCCAGTGATGTACCACCATTCCCTCGTACAACCCTTTCTTATAGATCTCGCGCCAATTTCCCCGCACGCAGTGCCCGCGAGCTCTAGGAATCTTGTCACCTTGCCTGCGACCTCGACATCCCTGCGTTAAAGCAATCCCTTTCACCCTAAGTATTTTTACTATGTCAATTAAAATACCCTTTTTCAATATTTTCCTTAGGATATTAGAGCCTGAAAGATTTAATTGCACACAGCGTTTTATGTTGGTTTTAAAAGCGGGGCCTTCTTTCACTTTAGCATGAAGTTACTAAATTACAAAACTCACCAATTTAAAAAATTAAATTTATCTTTCTACAGCACAATTCATAGATTCCTCCCACAAATGGATCACCACAATCCAACTGCTTTATCAATGAGTTTCCTTATTTTTCAAGAAATGAAATTATATGTTGAAGTGGGTACAAATAATTAAATTGAAGTTTGCACATTCTTCTGGCATTGTATGATTCAAATAAAATAGTATTATTCTTTATAATTTTTATAATTTTATATCTATTGCATAGATGTTTGTTATTATGAATATTTCTTTACTAAATAGTAAATATTTTCTTTCTTTTTATAATTGTATAGTTCTTTGATTCAGAGATACTTGCACATACTTCTTTTATTTTATTTCTAGTTTTTTGTACATTAATGGACAAATTGTCTGTATATTGTGATAAATAAATAAATACATTATAATGTGAACTATCAGAACTACTTTGCCGAAGAAACAATATTAGATGCTACAAAGGAAGCAGAAAACACTTTTAATGACTATGACCACATATATGTGCAAGAGAAAAACTAAAAATAATTTATCAGTAATTGTCTTTCACAATATTCTGGAATCAACTAGATAGCATGCTTATCTATCAGAATCAATCCTGATTGGGAAAAAAATATTTTTTCTACAGCTTAAGCTTTTTACATACTTGTGTACTAATATATTAGAAGTTGATAGTATTGTTATTATTGTTGATATTATCAAGTTGTTACGTATTGCTGCAAAAAAATTAATACTGAGATTTCTATATGTATATAATGAAAATGTCTCTGACAAAATCAGATGGAACAAATAATTAGATGATAGGAGTCCAAAAGGATATCCAAAACACCTGAAAAAAGTTCTAGCAAGTCTGTGTTACAATAAAAAACAGTCATACTGATAGCCAATAGAAATAGTAACGAGCTATAGTTCACCACAGTGTTAAGCAAGAATAACCAATATTTCTTATCTTCTTTAATATTTACACAGATTGGTCATAGAAGAACTGCTGGAATAAACATTGAGAATTTATTGGTGAAAACCTTGCAACTCACTGATCATTGCAGACTTGGAAAGTCAATTACAATTTGCAGGATATAAACTTCAAAATGAAATGAAAGAATACATCCAAAAGATTTCAACCTATGGCTTTCTCAGATTCAAAACGAGTAAAATTCAAAATAGTACCCAAGAATAAATTTATAGAATAGGTTTCTTTGATTCTTTACACGGCAATCTGTCCTATTTACTGTAAAGAGTTGTAGATATTAGATAGGAAGATTCCCACAAGTGTGCAAAACATTCAGAAGAACCCTAAAATAAAAGACCCAACTAAAATTCTAGAAATCATTGAGTGTCCCTTTGTTAACATATGACAATGAAAATTGTTCTCATAATAAAAGTCATAAAAGAAAAATATTAACAACATGAAAATAAATTCCCATTATGAATTGATGGTCTCTCTCTTCTAGGCAATCACAGAAATTAAGACATACATGGACATTTGGGCATCTTCAACCTTTTAGAAAGAGTTGAAAAGTCCAAATCTAATTTGAACTCCAATATTACTGGAACGGATGAATGCAGACTACCTAAACAAATTTTGGGCCATGTGCTGATCAGCAGAAGAAATGTTGGGAAATTAAGAATATACAATAACATATAAATATCAAAATATTCACAACAAATTCCCTATGTTTTCTCTTGGCTTAAATGGTAAGTTGTTCTTTAAAAAATGGGGCTGTTCCAATATCCATTGACACCTTTGAATTCTTGAACACTACAAAAACATAAGATGGATGGATGCACAATCATGCTGATGTACAGACAGGAGTAGACCAGC